AAACAAACAAAAAATAAATAGTTCTTTGTTTTACCTGATGAACCTGAATCATTTGGACTTGCTACTAACTTCTTGTTCATCACGATAAGAAACTTATGGTTGATATCCCAAAATCTGAACAAACGAGGAGTCACTTCCCGAAGATATTGAACCTCATCTGGTGGAGGAAATTTTTGCACTCATATAATGCAAGTAAAGAGCATGTTTGGAGAAAGAAATAATTACATGTCGTGTGTTGCAGTAAGCTTAAAAGGTGTATCTATCACCAAAGGATTTATCTAATGCATCATGTGAAAGAGAGGCTTCTCGATGGGGTTCTCAGGCAATGAATACTCTGCCCAGGAAGCTGCATTAGTCCCACTATGTGGCAAAATCTCATCTCTTCTATCACACTTTCCATTGTTTCTAGGGCTGATTTTAATACTGACTGTAATTTTACCACTGATCTTAATTGTATTGGAGGGGTTTTTTTTGTTTGTTTGCTTTTAAATATTTTATCATTTGTACTTTTTATTGCTATAAGCTGCTTTGACTGCACTGAAAAGTGGGATGCCATTTGATTCATAAGTAAATAAATAAATAAATATTCAATATAAGCTGAGTCACAGCTAAATGCTATTATTTTATATCCACAACTTGCTTTCCTGCAAAAGAAACCTAACCCCATTTTAACCTAGTGTGGTGTACTGGGCAAAGACGATCTTCAGTCCTGTGTAAAGCAATTCTCTCTTTTGACATTCCTCCTTCCTCTGCACTCTACCCTCCCTTGCCAACAACAGCTAGTTAGCTAGTTAGCTGGTTACGGGATTTATAGGCCACCCCAATCTGTTACGACTCTGGGCAGCTTACCCAATACGCCAATAAAAGGACAATAAAAAGGCAAAATTAATTAAACGTCCAGAAAAAATGCCAACAATCATTTACAAACCAGAATATCATTCCAGAGCTCCATCACCCACTACCTCAGGACCTGAGATTTGTACCTTTAACATTCCTCTGCCTGAAATCAACAGCAGATATTGCCAAATGTGTACAAAAATCCAGCCTTAGCTAGACTCTGCCTAGAGCTGGGTTTGTGCCCTCTTTCCTTAGGAAATATACTGTCTCAGACTGGCTTTCCGCAAAAATCAGACGAGGAAGCAGAAAATTGTAATAATATGTAGCAGGCAGTCACTTAAAATCTGACTCAAAATTAACTATCAGTTGGTTATGCTTAACAGTGTTAACTAGTAGAATATTGATTGACATCCCAGACTGTGCATGAATATTTTTCATGAATTCTGGCAGAGGACTTTTCTGGGGGGAAAACTAGCATCAGGCTCCTCTTTTTAACATCATGCCAGAATGTATTGGAAAGAATAGGGAAAACAAAATTTATTTCTACTTTTTCTAAAATATTTAGAATATACGCATGCTTTGGAAACGTCTCCAGACCACTGAAGGAAAAAAAAAGGATTTTTTTTTTTACCTGGTTTATAGTCTTTGAATAACTCTGTAATTTCTTCATCCCAAGTCTTCTTTTTGGCTGCTTCTGCCATTTCTCCAGCTGTCCCCAAAATTTCAGATTTCTCTAGAATTCCTCAGCAAGAGCTGGTTGGGCGTTCTGCAATGACAGCTGGAAAACCCTTCGTGTTTTGTCAATTATTTTTCATGCATAGAATCTTCATTTTGTGGGTTTTTTAATGGTGAAAAACACAGTATTAAGAATAGATAGATAGAGATGGCCTGCAATAACTTCTTTAAACCAACCAGAACTAGAACCAGAATGAAGAAAACAGTGATGGAGTTTTACTCCCCTCCCCCCCAAAAAAACCTCTTAATTTTTTGTTAATTATTTGTAATGGATAAGATCTTCATTTTGTGAATTTTCAATCGTGAAAATGCAGAATGAGAGAGAGAGAGAGAGAGAGAGAGAAGGGGAGGGTGTGGAAGAGCAGGCTGTGGAGAAAAAATGGCAGGCCCCTGGGCTGCCTTCCTTCCCTCCTGTTTGCCCCTTCTCCTCAGCATCCGCGTGGCAGAGTTGCTTATAAAATCTGCAACCTTGAAACAGGAGGAGGGAAGAAGTGTGTGGTTTGGGAGCTCCACAGCAGCA